AGTGTAAATTGAGTAATTATTTTACTACTTTTTTTATCTAGATACCTTAGAAATTCAATAATTTAAAGAACAAATCGTACAACAACAAATCGTAAAACTAGGATTTTCAGGATTCAAAAATGCCTTGAAAAATAATTCAAAACTATTTAATCCTTCGTGTGGCTGCCGAAACAGATTCTGCATTTTTATTAACACTGACACTCTTTTTTAACACTCTTCGCCCTGTCAGAAACTCAAAAATAGAAACAGCGAGAAAACGGAAAACGTTTAAGTACGAAGTCCAACTTAGGTGTTTACCGCACGGTAATCCTAGAGCAGCTAACCGCCTGGTTCTGGGCAATCCCTACCCGGTATCTCTTAATCCCCCGGCTTGACCGTAATCCCCAACACTCACTGTTTATATCTAGAAAAAAATACAATAAATTATTACAAATTAACGTAAGTTGATCGGGTAGGAGTTCTAACAAAAAGTCTATGTGACAAGTTAGCCATTTTCCCTCCAGAGATACGAACAACGGGGGCCCTTAGCAAAAACTAAAACAAAAGATAATCAAGAGAATAAATAAAACCGCCATCACTGAAGCAACCACGTGACAATTTGGGAACGCGCCGGATATACCCAAGTAAATATAAATATGGAGTTTCGATCCAGGTGCCTTGCGAGAAGTGCAACGTATTTTAAACCTGATGTGGTGGGTGGCACGATAATCGAGCCCAAATTTTTTTTCTGCAGCCCTGGCGAAGATCCCTCAATCTTTAAGTAAGCATCCAAGTGGCAACAACCAACGAGTGGGATGAGAAAGCCTCCTTCCATATCTCATGTGCTACCTTTGAAGGGCAGAAAAAAGAGCTCACTGCCGAAGAAATGTAAAAGATTTTTTCAGGGCCTTTTGCGAAATGCACGAGTCCGAAAGTTCTCCTATACCCTCCCGTATACGGACAAATGAGACATGCTGCAGTTGAGCAAGTAAAGTAACCCTAAGAATAATGGAGACATCTGTGTAATCGGGAAGAATAGCACACAGGGGTCTGCTATTTAGGACTCCTCAATACAAGTTAAGGTACGGCGAACTATATAGATATATCGTGGAACCCAATGATTTTGACCATACCTTGGAAAGTGTTCCTTTTCCTTTAAAACTAAACTCTTTATTCGTGCCTCTGCGCATTTCTGTTCGTGTGACGCCTTAACGATGAAGCTATACCTTAACCGGGGATGTTTCTTTTGACATAATCAGCATGTTTCTGACTTTGCTTATATCGAAGTTAAGAGGACAGTGGTCAGTAAAGGTGCCTATAATTTGTCGCAAATCTTGCCTGCTGAGAGAGATAAGTTCCTTCGCCTTGCTTCTGAAAAGAGATTTGTGGATCTCTTACCTTGCCTCATACATAGGCTTCCATCCAGTACTTGAATATTTCTTTCTGAAACTATTTTTTCGGTTCCACCTTTAACACTCCATCCGGTGTGCCTAGCTATTGTCCCGGCCACACGGGTGAGAGGGTTCCTTTGGCTGATTGGTCCAGTTTGTTTCCTTCTATATCTTCATGTCCCGGAAACCACCTCAAGGTAACCTTGCTATGTTCTCCTAGGGCCATTAGGCAATATAGGCATTCCAGGACCAGTTTAGAGGTAAAAGCGTATGCATTTAAGGCTTTCATAGCTGCCTGTCCGAAAGTACAGCACCTTTAATTTTCTTCTTTGTTAACTCATTTGGTCAGGGTTATACTGTATAGATCAGCTTAGAAGATAGTTGGAACCAGTGCAAGGGGTTTTTCTTGGATGTACTTCGCTCTTTTTATCTCTTCACCTACTTTCACCTCGTTCTATCTTTGTTCCAACAGTGAACCATATTAGGACACTTTACTGAAACCTAGGGCTCTCTTTCTTCCAAAGATCTCGGTTATCTATGACCACTTGGAAGGGTCTGTCAAAGTGGAGTTTCCTCTTATTTAGTAAGGTACCGTTATGACCATCTAGTTTTTGTGATAGCTTCTTCTTAGTTCTGTTTTATTTCGTTATATCTCAGGAATCTGTCAGTACTCTTCAAAGCTAGTATTGTACTTACAGTATTGTAACAGTGCCCGTGAAGCTGGTAGAGCGGTTTCCATCTATGTTCTAGGACAAGAATGCATTTCCCTCGTTACGTTAAGACATGCTGGTCTTTGTGGAATTCGCAGATTGTTTTTTGTCTCCTTATCCAGTGTTTTTGCCACCATACTGGAGCTCCATATGTGACCAGGCGTCTGACCGTTGTGGTATATAACCAATACGCTCCATCCTTGGGATTATTCCCGAATTTTAAATGCATAATCTCTAGCCTTGGTCTTATGTAGTAGGTTGCGCATGTGACTTATTCACTTGAGCTTTTAGTCAAGGGTTATACCTAAGTACGGAGTTTTTTTTGGAGAAGTTTTGGTTTCATCTTTTAGAGTGGGTGCTTTTAGCTTTAGCTTCCTTCTTCTTGTGGAGAGTATGAAAGATGGTTTTTTTTGACCCATTTTCTCACACCATCTTTCTATAATGTTTAGGTTTTGCATCTGATCTATAACTACTTGGAAAGGCCTTTCAAAGTAGAGGTTTCCTCTCATTTTATCATATTAGTATCTCCAAGCCATGGTACGAGTTTTTCATTTTTTTTTTTTTTTTTATTTATTTCTTTTCATCTCAAATGTCTGGTGGCACTCTCGAAAGCCAACCTTTGTTGATGTGTAAGGATGGAAAGCTGAGTGCGAATCCGTGAATTTTTGAACGGTTAGACTTTTCAATGAGGCGGTGTAATGGTCTTTTCGCAGATTAGAGATTCCCCTCCTATAATCCAAAACGAAGTGGAGCCTTCGGAGGCTAAATTTCGATCCGTGATTCTTTGAAGTCGTAGGATTTAGTTTATCTTAAATTGTTTGCTTTGGATTAGGATAAATATTAATTCGAAGTTTGGTGAAGCGAAGTAAAAGTTTACTCACGACAAACAAACCTACAGACAAACGGAATTATCAGATAACCTTGACGAGTTCTTATCATCAAAGTTCCACCAGCTATTAACTAGTATTTTACAGTAAATATTCATTATCGAAGTTCTTGTTGTTGTTATAATATTTAAACTTTAATTGGGAGAATAAAAGTGTGATGGAAATGTAACAAATTTTGCTCAGTTTCCTTATGTAAACGAAAAGCTCCTTAAGTTTGAGCAAGGTGTTGACTTTAAATTTCACCCAAAATTACGATTAACGATAATCTTACAATTAGCGTTAACTATCTAAAATCGTTTGAACTTTATCGCAACAAGTTTCATCCGATTCTACAACATTGGAATTAACATCAATTATTAGTTTAAATGCTAACGATTTCTTATAGACATAAAATGCCCAAAGTGCTTTTCCGTATCATCTCAACCCAGTATTAATATATCACTTCCAGTCGGTTTGTGTGACATGAATTCCCTGGGATTCGCATGAGGTTCTTTTTCGACTGAACATGGACTTATCAGTCGTTTATTTACAAGATGGGAGGTGAGGCAATTCTGGTTACGAAAGAAAGGATCTCATCTCGTAAGTTCACAATTAGAAAACGTTCCAGTCAGTAAAGATCAGGGGGAGTTCTTTCCCACTCACCCCCCCCCTTCTGACACGATGATCAGCATAGATGGTCTGACCAGCGTAGCACGCCGAAAAGCTTTAAGCCAGAAACACACTTACTCGATGCTACGCCATGCGACGCTTCCCGATGCTACCCGACGCCTTGCCACGTTTTGGTGGGGTGTGCACATCTATCCGACGCAAGCACACGTCGCGTACAGTCCACAGCGTTTATCACAATAATCACTATCACAATCGCAACGCATCTTTTGTTCTTAATGCACCATTTTGAGCAAAACCTTGTAATAAATTGTTAGTTAAATTTTATGAGCACAACCATCTAATAAATTGTTTGTTAAACTTAATTGTTTTAAATGAAGTTACTCCTAACCATCATAATTAAACAACGTTTATAAAAACTTATGCATTTTTGATCTCGTTTAATTTGGTTTACATTAAAATAACATGTTGTAATTAATATAACGACAAAATTACATGTACTTAGTTTGAAATAAACTACAAAAAATATGAGTGTCCTGTTCTGATGCTACCCGACATAAAAAATGGTGTAATTTTACGAGCAAAACTATGAAATAAATTGTTAATTAAATTTTATGAGCAAAACCGTGTAATAAATTGTTCCAATTTTAGTATATGTACCGCCGAAGAGAGTACAATACACTGTTAGTTAAATTCATTATATCAAAAAATCGTATTCCTGTGTTTTGATTAATTTTCTATTAAACCATTAAAATTAATTTTTTAAATAAAAACTAATTATTTTTTAATCACAGTTAATTTGGTTTATATTAAAATAAGTATGTTGTAATTAATATAACGACAATAATACATGTAGTTTGAATAAAAATATGAGTGTCCGGTTCTTTTGTCCTCTGAAAATCTGGACAGTGGGGATCGCATAGCACAGAGTAGGGTAGCGTTGCGTGGCATTGGGCAGATGTGCACGGGGGTATACAATCTTATGGAAAATTGGACTTTGGATTTGCGTCAGGTAGCATCGCATAGCGTTGTATCGGGTGTGTTCCCGGCTTAAAGGACAACACAGGCCACCACTGGCTTAAATAAGGGGGAAATGGGTTAATCTAGTAATTCAACTTTTTGTCCTGAGAAAAAATTATTCCCCACATTTAACTTAATAAAAAAGTACAAAAAGAAAGAAACATTAAACAAAACATAGGAAAGAGGCACCAAACCTAGCGAACAACCAAATAATAAAAATTGAACAAAATATCTACACTAAACACACTAAAAAAACGCTATCAAAAAATTATGATGATTTTTTTTAATTATTAAGTAGAAGCACCTAGCGAACTTTGTCGTATGAATAGTTACTCACTCTGTATAAAAAATAATTAAACTAATAACACACATAAAGTTTTCTCGTTAAATAAAACTTTACAGCAAAGTACAACTTATATTGAAACATTTATTAAACAATTGTTAAAATGTTCATGTTGACTTAATAATTAAACATGTAACTTTTATACAGGAGGGCTTTTTGACCGAACTCTTGACTGTGATTCACATACTGCCAATATATAATATAGGCAATATATAATTGAAATATCTTTATTATCAACTCTCAAAAGTTCTAAAGTACAGATATTTTCTTCTTTTAAAAAGATTTCTAATCTTGATGACAAAAATTACGCTATCGAGTTAAAACTCGTTAGAAACGTTGTTATCTCTTTGTAAGACAGGGCTTCTGCGATGTCGTAAGCTGTGAATCCGAGTGGATCTTTTTTTAGTGTGTCCACTCCTTTTTCAACTAAGTAGCGAATGACTTCCAATTGATTGTGTTGAGCCGCCTGAAACAAAGAGAAAAACAGTAATATAAAGAAGAAATAATAAATGTGGGTGGCGTTATAATCAGAACATAATGTCGGATTTTCATCTTATACGACTTTCGGTAACAATAAAAAGTCATTGGTTAAACTTGAACCCAAAATAAATTAGTTCTCTTTTATTAATCTCCTCATGTCGAACCAATCCAATAACCACAGGTGGTCACTATAATTCAATGCTAACAAACGATTTCTCGTAGACATGCCAAAAGTGCTTTTCCTTATCGTCTCCGTATGGTGACCACCTGTGGTTATCCACTAAGCGTAACCATTGTTTCAATAATGGTCTCCAGGGCAATAAGCTGGCAGCAGCTCAGTATATAGTATTAATTCAGACCCTTCGACGAAGTCTCAACTCTCACTAATCAAGCAGCACTAGCTACAGGAGGAGCACGGGTATTCGCAGTATCATCGTATTCCTGCTGCACGAGTCACTTCGCTCGCTACCGATCATCAACATCAGTCTAGGGACTCCAACCATCGGCTCCATCCATGAACTGGCCCTTTTAGGTCACTTAAGGATGAAGAACAATCAGGTTTGTGGTCAGTCGGTCAACACCCCGACGTGATTATGTTCCTGCAAACAACTTTAGTCGCTGCAGGTACTCCGTTGTAAATAACACACTTCACACACAAGTGGGCTATTGTTTAGACAGTCTCCACCATCGGGTTAGCTCAAAATTTTATTAGGTGTTTCAACTACTTCGACAATGTTTTCTTATTGCAAAAAGCAGCCAATGAACGTGCAACACTCCTCTTCATAAGAGTTATGAATAAACTGTACCTCGTTGTGGTCTGAATGAAAAAAACAAATTCATCAGGATAATACAATCTTAAAGATGTATATAAATTGACATAATTAAGTTTTTGGTAAATAGTTTCAAATTTCTTGAAGATAGACTCAGTCCCAACATTGCCAAAGACTGGAACACTATTCTACGAGGGCTTGACCTGCTTGAAACAGACACGTCGTCATCAGCATAGGAAGCCGCTAAGACGAGCGACAAGAGACAGTCTTCTTAATCGCTCGGCTCATCGCACACTCGACACCTCCCCGAGGCCAATAGGTTCAAACAAAACTCCAATCACTAAACTCTATTAATTTCTCTTTTATCTCTTAACTATCTTCAGATAGTTAAGCAGCCAGTCAGCAACTTTAATTACCAACTCAAGGACAGCTCTAAATTGCAAGACAAGTCGGATATGCAAAACAGTCACTCTCCACTGGGTTTCTTGAAAGGGAGAATTCGAGGGAAATGAACAACCGGAAGCTCAAGCAATAAAGTGCATACATGAATTACTTAAATCTACAGAGCGGGGGGGACGAATAGCTTGGAGGGCGAAACATGGTTAGACTCCCCAAATTGTACATTTATTCATATCTCATTAATTATGTTTATTTGTAAACAATTTTACTGCACTGTATAGCACTTTTATTCTTACTGTTGGCAAAATTTCAGAGTTTCATAAGATTGTTTTCTTTGAAGAAGGAAAACAGTTGACGACGACAAATTTAAACCTTCATTCGAAAACAGCGTAACACACTTGAGAGACGTTCACCCTATGATAGAAAGCATAGTTTTTGATTTTTCAGTAACTTCCATAAAATAGGTATCAAGAAACTTCACTAGAATTAACCGGTACTACTCTGTGGCAACAGGCACTATAGAACTGTTCACTGTTTAATGAATGTTTTATCGTTATATGTGCAAATTGAAATCATAAAACCAATTCCCAAACCTCAAAAACCCCAGCAGCCCTATCAGTTGCGGCTTACTTGGCAAAATCCAATTTTCAAAAAACCCTCCTGATACAACAAAATCCCATCCTTGAAAGCTCCAATTTCATCCATTCGTGCTCAGGTGAAACCGCTTTACCATTCAACAATGCCACAGAGTAGTAGACATCCCAATCACCCTTGAATAGAAGGAATGCTAAGGGTGCTTTCTTAGACTTGAGACGCCTTCGATGGAATGTTCCCGATGCTCTGCAAACTCAAGAGCATCCTTTCTGCCCGTACTTTCAAATCGGAACTCAAATCGGAACATCCACCAACCACTATGCCAAAATGGATGTTGCAAGGCAGCATCTTCCCAGCAACCAATGTCGTCCGCTATTTGGGACTTTAATCAACAAAAGTATTTACTTGGAATCCCCGCGCTCAACAGGAAAAAATAGAATTGGACACATGATAAAAACTACACAAAAGACCTCATATACTACAGTCAATCTGGACATACAAAATCGAACTGTGTAATTCAACCAAAGAATCCAGTCACTCCTGTCCAAAATCATTCGAACCATTACTCAAGCTCCCTACTTCGTATCCAATCTTACTATGACGGACCTTCAAATCCCATTTGTCCTCGAAACCGTTAGACGTCTAAGCAGACACCACGGAGTCTCTGGACTCCCTGGACCCTCATCCAAACCACTAGTAACATATTTCATCCCGAACCCTTCCCGACAACCCCTGCCAAAAGCCAACCTAAAAGCACCTAGTCTAAGCTTAAACCATAACCTCCTCCATACCTATTATACTAGGTATCACCCTTACCCAGAGGCTCCGTTGGAGAAGGCGTATAGCAACATGCTACATATACGGCTAAGGCGCTACTGGTAATTTGCCAAGGAAATGAACTACTCTGGACCTTCATCCACAACCCTTCCTAACAATCCTCTAAGACGTCTAAAGAACCAATAGCCTCGTGATTTCCTTCGTTGTGTTGTTATAGGAGGGTATTTAATGTATGGCTCTACTATGTAATTTTTATAAGCGCTCTAGCATTGCTGTATCGTAATCGAACATTAATCTGTAGTGTATGTGGCGAATATGCTTTCGGTAACAATTTGTAGACCAGAGGCGATTCGCCAAGTTAAAAACATCGATTTTTCTTTCTCTGTAAATCTATAAACCCTCCGAAAATCCGATGGCGACCAAATTGAGGTTTTAATAAACCACAAACCAACGGCACACGGTTCGAGAGATTGCAGGGAATCCCGTCATGTCACAGGCAAATTTAATTTCACATTAACAGAAACATTGATTTACACATTCGGGAATTTTAGCGACCGCATTTCTGTAGTGTTTTGCTCTCAAAACGTCAAAAATACACATACAGCTTTTCTTAAAATATTATTTAATTGAGTATTAAAATAAGATCCTACAGAAATTCATTGTTTGGTAAGGATTTTCTCAAAAGACAAATATTCCCAGGACAGAAACACTGAATTGTGATTAATACAAATTTAACCCCTCCGATTATAATTAATTACAGGTGGATAAGAACAATTTTCAATTTCTGTTCAACCTCAGCACGAATCTGGTGATACATCACAAGAATATCTGCGCAGATAGCTACCGAATGTGCCTAAGCGTTAAAATCGCTTTAGTCAGGTTGAATTTTGTCTTGAAGTCGTATGATTAAGTTGGATGTACTTTTTCATAAATGCTAAGTACAAGGTTAGCTGAATTTCATGATAGGCTTTTTTCTAAGGCAAAAAAAAATCGGCAAGGTAAGATGTATGGTATAAAACACATAGATCCAAACATATCGACATATGTGATTGCCGAGTGGTCACAAACTTTCACACATATGCGAATAACCTTCAATTTTTCATTTGCCCGTATAGGGCTGTTTGTGAAGTCGTCCCTCCTAGTCCACTGGAAGGGATTGATAGACACCCTGGAGATTTTTGATCGGCGGTCCTATACCCGCTCCCAGATGCACCAAACCTTCTGGAGTTGATGGATATTGGAATGGAATATGGTAATCCAACAAATGGAACTTGGATTTTGGAATCCAACATAACAATGGAATAAAGTAAAAACTGGTAAACTGCCACATCTTCTCTCAAAGGTCGACATTACCTCCTCAAAGGCCTCCAGCAGCTACTCTTCCGTGGCCTATTGGTCTACAAGGGTTGAAAATGTACAAAGAGCTGATACTTTTCTACAACCAGTTCACGGACTTCTCTCTCTTCCTCTGACAGACTGGCATGTTAATTTTAACATGTACACACAAGTACATATATTTCTTCTCTTTTATATAAACAAGTTTTACCCTTATGTTTATGCTTCCTTCCATCCTATCAACTTTTAGTTTTACTTTATTTGTTCCAATTTGCCAACTTTACAAGTTACATTGTTTTATTTTCTAATTTTTAAAATCTTACGTAACATGGTCAATGCACCTTGGTACATAAGGAATAAGGACTTACATAGGGATCTTAAGATACCTGAAGTCACGGCGGAAAGACAAAGATATGCCGCCAAACACCAGGCTCGCCTCAGCCAGCACGAGAATATGGAAGCGACCAAACTCTTACATAACCGAAACATGGTCAGAAGATTAAAAAGAACAAAGCCATATGATTTTGTGTAGTTAAAAATGAATAGTGAAATGTAAATCTTATTGCACCAATGGGTTTATAAGAATGTAAACATTTATTTATTCTATAATATTATTGTAAAATTAATGGTTGGTCTAATAAAACCAGTTTTAATAAATAAATTTAATTTTAAAAAAATTCTAATTTTAGAGGATTCAAAAATTATGGGTAGTATGTTGTGGAGAACGCTTTCCAACGCACGGACATCTGCTCTTTTACATTTTTCTTCTTTTAAACAATATTTCTCCTTGTTTACATCAAGTTTTGTTTTAGTTTAATAATTAGAGCAACTTTTATAGGTGAAATAAGGCTAAGAGGCTAAGTTAATAATCTCCCCTGAAAATTGCCATTCTTTAATGCTAATTAAGTTAAATTTTTTTTACTCCCCATACTCAAATTTACTCCACCAAAAGTCAGAATAGATAGTAAAAAATATTCTCCCACTGAGTGTGATTGCAAAAGTGAATTGGAGCCTAAGCACTAAAGCCCTATCGAAGGTATATAAAACAACATGACTGCCTATAGCAAGTGGAGCATGGGCGATGAAAATGAAAAGCCAAGCGAGAAATATTCTTGAACAGAGCCAAAGGATAGCCTAACGAAGATGCACAAAGGCCTATTAGGACAATATTCTCACATTGCTTATGCTCAACCCATAGACATTGTCCTTCAAAGAGTTGCTCTTAAACAAATAAAAAACAGGAAACAACTGAAATTGGCAGAAGTTGAGGATCATAAACTGGACAAGCTCAAAAGTGCTAAAAAAAATAATTTTTGCAATTTATGGATAAGTGGATAGACGCAAGATATAAACAAGATGGAAAAGCAGCAACAAGGGTTGGCTGACTCTCAAATTCTTCCCTAAAATTGAAGATAGGGTTAAAATTGGCAATTAGCTGTGTCCTGATCACTATCCTAACGGGCCACAGAAATTTCAATGCAATCTTTTTAAGTTCAAAAGAGCAAATGGAATTTTCATATACTTATCAATAAAAAAAAGGGCTAAACTAAAGTCTTGATCCCAAAAACTGGCCACCTAACTTGAACAAATTGACAAACAAAAAAATTGTTTCACAGCTTATAAATAGTTAGCGCGAGTATCAAGTACAATTTTTAGGTATTCATTTATTTATTATAGCATTTATTTATTTATTTATCTATTGATTGATTGGTCTACTTAGTTTTGTATGAAATGTTTTTATCACTGAAGTATTCATGCAATTAGTCCTGTTCACATCTATTGCGTTTTTTATTTATTGAAATTATTGTAATTCACAGATCACAAGCACAGCTAGCTTCAATCCGGGCTAGTGTTCTCTACATTATTGAAAGGGGGCACTAGCAAGAGGAGTCTCATTAGAGTCGTACCTACTTAGCTAGAGCACTAGCTAAGAGTACCTACTTGGATGTAAGAGTTTTAAATTAAAAAATCCTAGACTTCCTCTAGCCTTGCCTTTCACCAGGTAAGACATGAGGAAGGACAACAAAATTTTAGTAAATTGGCAAGGTCCACTGGTATAGGGTCTCCCTAAGGAACTGCAAGGTGGTGGATGGGGGAAAAGTAGAGAGGCTTGTTGCTCACCCAAACAAAACAGCAATTTGGCCAAGAATCCAGCAAGACCTTCCACAAGGCCATGTAGGACATCTACAGCCACACTGAACAAAACCTGAGTATCCCCTGCCGGTTCAGCAGGCTTCAATACCCAATTTTAATCCATTTATTTTAATTTCTTAAATTCTGTATGAATCGTGAATAAGTAGAATTTCATACAAAATTGAATTAGTATGCTGGCCCTTGGTGTCCATTGCTTGGTCCATAAATGCCCAACTCATAAGATCAATCGGGAGGGCATGGGTGGGATGAACGTTATTTCACATTAGATTCACTAATTTCGTGGTCTGCTTGACCAATTAATATATTACAATTAATTAAGGTTTTTAGTTGAGATAAAAAAGTCAATGGCACGAGCGAGATTCGAACCCACGATCTTCGGCTTGATACGCCGCTGCTCTACCACTTGATTGAATTTTCCCTCCTTTTTGCCATTTTTCAAATATCGTGTAATCGGATAGGATTTTCGACGACAAATGAAACGGCCATGGAGAGCTTGGTGAAGTATACTTCATTTTAAATCATTAAATTCACTAATTTCGTGGTCCGCTTGACCAATTAATATCATAACCAAGCGGACCACGAAATTAGTGAATTTAATGATTTAAAATGAAGTATACTTCACTAAAGCTCTCCGTGGCCATTTCATTTGTCGTCGAGAATCCAATCCGATTATACGAAATTTGAAAAAATGGCAAAAAGGAGGGAAAATTCAAAAGGTGCGGTTGAGATGGGAAGTTGGTGTCCGAGTACGATAGCTCAAGTGGTAGAGTAGCGGCGTATCAAGCCGAAGATCGTGGGTTCGAATCCCGCTCGTGCCATTGACTTTTTTATCTCAACTAAAAACCTTAATTAATTGTTATTTCACATCTTCAACATGGTAGAGTGTAACATTAAACAAGTCAGCTTGAATTGTTCACCTAAATTCACTCACTAAATTACATACTTATTCACAATTCATGCAGAATTATTTTCATTACCAGCGTTTTCTTCTTTGTTTTTTCAACATTTGGCATAGCCATGAACATTTTATTTTACAAAATTTGATAAAATATTTATATAATAAAACATTGAGAAATTAATACAGATGCATACCTCGTGCAATGGTGTTCTTCCATTTTTATTCAAGCAGTCTAATTTCGCACCTGCTGTATTGTACAGTCTCAATTTTTTCAATTGCCCGTAACTAGCGGCTCTATAATATCAGTATAATTTGTAAATGTTCTTAAAAAATAATTTATAATATAAAAGCAATAAACCTGCATATGTAATCTCCCAAGTTCTGCATTTGCAAATGAGCTCCGTTGGCGCACAAAATTTCTACGACATCTTCATGTTCATGTCTAACTGCATCCAACAAAGGTGTATGACCATATCTAAAAAAGAAATCCTGACTCAATAAATTCAAATACAAATATATGTATAATCAGGAGAATAAAAACATACATATCCTTTTTATAGACACTTGAGCCATTTAATAACAGATATGTTACTATGTGTACACTACCGATTGATGCAGCAATATGCAGTGGTGTCCTAAGATCTGAATTTGTAGCATTAAAATCAGCTCCCTGAAACATCTTCTATTGATTAACAATGTTTGCAATCAGCTTTAATTACTTACACTCTCTTTGAGCTGCTGAAGGCCAGCAAGATTTTGTTTTATTATTGCATGAGATAATAAACTGTTAAATATTATCTTTTGTATTTCTTTGACTTCCCTATTATCTGTAGACCGTAATGAGTATGCTATAGCTTTCACCAGTCCATGTTCCTCATAGTTTGTTGGCATTTTTGAAGTAAGCTCACCCCGTATGCTGTTTTCCATTACCTACAAAAACTGTACTTTACTGAAAAAAGACTTTATCTTCATATCCTAATTAATAAATTACAAAGATTTATATTTCATTATGGTTCACTTATCTTTATTTTACAAAATTTGGTAAAATGTTTATATGTTAAAACATTGAGAAATTGAGACAGAAGGGTCTGTCTTCACTCGCGAATCTGTTGAGCTACTCAAAAGCGTTTCGGTATTGTGACTTCGAGTGAAGACAAACCCAGTAATTGACCCAACGCCAGTTCAGAATTAATTGCAATGTTTACAATTTAAAATAGTGAAATTGCAGACTTTATTTGGGGTAAAGATTAAATTTAGTAAATTCACTATTTTTCATAGTCCGCTTGACCAATTAATAACATTCAATTAATTAAGGTTTAAGTTGAGATAAAAAAGTCAGATAAAAAATTCAAAAGGTGGGGTTGAGATGGGAGGTTAGTGCCTGAGGGGATCGAAGTCACGATAGCTCAAGTGGTAGAGTAGCGGCGTATCAAGCCGAAGGTCGTGGATTCGAATCCTGCTCGGGACACTGACTTTTTTATCTCAACTTAAAACGTGTGTGGTGATTAGTATCTGACCAAACAAACAGTAGCAATCAGTAAAAAAGAGTACAAGGAAAAAATTGACAAAATTATCACAGACACAAACACACACAGCATAAACAAATCAGACCCTACTCCTACTCTCATTAAACAGACAAACAAAATTCTCCAAGAAACACTTCACTAACACAAAAATTACACCAATTAAAACTCAGTGCCTCCAACAGAATTTTAAACAGGCATTTTAAAAAAATTGTACACACATCAAAAAGATGCATACAACGTCCACTTCGACAAAATCAACAACAAACACATCAAAAAATTAAATAACTTAATCAACAAACAAACATCTGTTAACACAAATAAATGGTTCCTAAACCTAACCAAAACTATCATTCCTCCAGAAATCCAGAACTTCCTATCACTTGGTCCCAAACAATCCATTCCTTACAACAAAACAGATTTTCCAATAGCTAAATTAATCCAAAAATCCACAAAAACAGAAGAAGAAAAAGACATAACACGATCAAAATGCATTAACACAATAACAAATCACTTACAACACCTCACTACAAATCAACACAACCTATCTCAACAAACATATACCGAAACCAAAAATTTTCTCAAAAATAATCCTGACGTACTCATTCTTTCGGCTGATAAGACCAAACAAACAGTAGCAATCAGTAAAAAAGAGTACAAGGAAAAAATTGAGAAAATTAACACAGAAACAAACACATACAGCATAATCAATTCAGACCCTACTCCTACTCTCATCAAATAGACAAACAAAATTCTCCAAGAAACACTTTTCGACTTCAAAAATCCAAAAGTATTACACACAGAACAAAACAAACATAAACGTAATTTCTTAGAAATGGTTTATATCAACAGAGATAAACACAGCATCAATTACAGAACAGATACATGTAAACTCAGTCGCAGCTACGCCAATATCATTAATCAAATTCAATACAGATAACATACCTATATCATCACATTACATTCCACACATCAAATATTTTTCACATAGTCTAATTTCCCAACAATTTAGCTTTCCTTTTCCTATTTTATCCCTTTCTAAATAATCCTGAAAGGATAATCTGACCGAACCATTACCAAAACTTTTTTTTCCCTTCATCGGCTCTTTTCACCTCAAAGAAGCCAACACCATATACAAAAATGTCTTTTCTATACCAACATCCTTCCCCACCCCTTCAAAATCCAACGTATACATATAAACACAAAATTGCAAAATTTCACTAGCACTCTCGACACGACACGCAAGAATGGCACAATTACACAGAAGACAAACACTTTGAGTGAGTAGAAATACTTTGATTGAATATATAAAAAATATATTTTGCATTGTATAAATTCACTTTTCCACATCCTAAATGTATTTGTTAATTGTAAACAATGTTTGTAAATCCTAGGCCCTGAAGATGATCTCAATAAAGATCAAAATGTTGGCCGCATCTCATGATTTCTAAATAAATATCAACTTAAAACCTTAATTAATTGAATTAAATTTAGTTTGAACCGTGACATGACAACTGTGCCTACATAACATTCAAGCTTTTTCTTATATTTTGTTATTATTAAACCTATTAAAATCATATTAAATAGCCAATTGAACGGCATATTTTATGAATGACAGTTTTATGCTGTCCAACAACATACTCACAGCTTTTTTAGTGTCCAGATCCCACTCTGGTTTGGAGAGGACATAAGCCAATTTGGTGAGAGCCGCCTCTGGTGTCATGTCACGACCAGATATCACACCAGCTTTGGCAAGTTGCTTAAAGGGAAATATATTTAGTTTCATTTAAATTTGCATGATAAACGTATGACAAAGAGTTTTTAACTTTTACCTTTCCAGTTTCATAGTCATCAGTCACTGCTCCGTGAGAGCATTGTGTGCAGTTTACTATGATAACCCCTCGTGAAGCAGCGGCTTGTAATTCCCCTAACAGGTCTGCTCGTACAGAAGGCATGTTTCCAGATCCATACGATTGTATGACCACTCCTTCTACCGGAGGATACAGTGCAGCTTTAACCTACATAAATAATTGTTATAAGAACAGTCATGTAAATTTGTGCAGGTATGACTTACAACAAGTGTAGAAATACTTGGAAATATCCTTATCAGTCCAACATTTTGATTCAATGATGTGTGCACTTTGAAATTGCCTAAAGCACTCGGCATTAGTACAATCCTCTCATTTACTATGAATTTAAACATGTTAAATAAATTTAAAACTTGTTTTTGTAATATAAATAAATTTTAGTTTTTTTACCATCGACAGTTGTTCCCACAGTGGCAATAGGAGGCAAATTGTAGGATTCGAATGCATTAAACGTATGGGAACTTATTTTAGTTGTTCTGTTTCCTCGAAACAGTTTGTGCCCAAAGAATATGGTAACTTCTGGGATTATGTAACGACCAGCTAATAAAAGCGAAGAAACAAAATTATCCCGTCCATCACTCACCGGGTAGAATATGGGAACCTAAATAAAAAAGCAAATTGTTAACAGTCAACGTAGAGAAAGAGTGGCGATTTAGCAGACCTGCGATCCAGTTAAAATGACGGTCTTTCCCAAGTTTTCGAGCATAAAAGACAAAGCTGATGCAGTGTATACCAGAGTGTCTGTTCCATGTAGAATTACAAAACCATCATATTTTTGATAGTTATCCTGGAAAATTTAAGAAAAAGATTGTATAAACAACATTTAATCCTTTTTCTCTCTTTAATTTTGAAATATTTTAAATGTTATCGTACCATTGTTATAAATCATTCTTGATCTTATACTTACATATATGTCCTTAGCGATATGTGTCCAATCGTCCATAGACATGTTGCAAGAATCGAGAAGCACGTCGTACTCTAGGATTTCATAGCCAACACGATTCATACCGTCTACATATCTGTATAACGTGTCAAAAAATTATTAAAAACTTGATTTGAAAGTCAGTTAAACCGCTGCTTACGGTAAAACAAGAAGTTCAGGATTCTGCTTTAGCACTGGTGATTTGGCAGCAAACTCTGCATCATGCATCGTTGGATTGTTCTGGATTGTTTTTTTAAATCTATTTTTTGCTGGCACCAAACCTAGTTGGATGAAAATTAGTTAGAATTTACTCTGATAAGAGTTATTAATTAATCATTTATAAGTTGATCTGATGAATTCTGAATCTGATAGTTCTGACAATTACTTCACCAGTGGATCCGGGTTTTGCACATCTTTATAGGAATGTATTAACTTGGAATTTGGTCATTACTGATCATCCTTGTCTGTCTATTCACTGTTGACCTATCAGATTTCAGGATGTTGCCATCTTCAGTGTTGGGTCTTTATAACTTAGTAATAATAATTTCTTAATAATAGGTTAGCCATGGTTGATTTGAAAAAATACTAAATTGTGAGATTTCTTTTGCAGGGCTGGATTAAGTTGATGATGCTTGAATACTCTAGTGTAAGATGAAATATGTTTGGTACCACTCTCAAGTGTCACCATGTATGTCCATCCAAGATTCTTTAAGAGAGCAGTAATTGATGATAATTTTTGGATAATAGGTTTACTCTCAATTAAAAATGGTTTTAAAGATCATTGGACCTGCATGAATATGTAGATTGGTATCTATATATTCCCATGGATGGTTTGGGGAAAAAACTTGTAGTGTTTCCTTCATGGGGTTACTTCTCTTAGAGAAAAACAAGCAAATATAGAGAGATTGTCCGGCCGTCGTGCAGTCTCACCACTTACACGAGTACAGAGAGACATGATAAGCATAGAGGAGTCCTATCTGGGCATGTACCACGGAATGATTTATCTTTAAATAATAAAAGAAAGAATGGTATTGGAATGGCATATGCAGATTTAAAGGGCAGTCACTACAAGGACATTTCTTATATATATACTGTATATATACTGTACTTATATATATATATCATCAACAACAAACCTCATCTTCTCCATACATCTTGCTAGAAATAAGAGGAAACACCTTGGTGAGGCTGATATGGATAAATACAGATCTAGAAGGAAGCATAAAAGCAGATGCATTAGCAAAAGAGACGAAAGTTTGAAGAAAGAAACAGCATATACTGCAAATCAGAGAACAAAAAGAAAATTCTATGGGACAATACAACCATGCATACAAAAAAAAATTTAACTCTTTTTGTAGGAAATTTATAGATTTAACAATATGATGGTGAGTGGCATGGATTTGGCAGGAATTTGTCAGACCATGAGCGCAGGGGGAGAGGAGCCAGCCATTGTTGTAACTTTCAATATTTAGGATTGTTGGTTGATTGGTTTAGGGTTGTGTTAGAAGGTCACGAGTCCACTGCCTTTAGGTCATGGAGGATTGTTAGGATGGTTTCTTGAAGGAAGAGCTTGAGCTAGTGGATTGGTATGGAACAAGAGCTTGGAGTGGAAGTTGTGGAATAGTATTCAGATCATGTCCATCACGATTGGGATTTCTAGGTCTTTGTGAATGTTTTGGTTAGTGACATATAAGAAAATAAGGAGGGTGTGACGGAGGAATTTTGATTGAAAGGATTGGATTCTTTGGATGTTGGATGGCTTTGTTGAACCCCCACAGCTCGACTCCGTCAGTCCTAATTGGTATAATTCATGTCTTGTATATTGTTGATTTATTTTGTGTACACAAAATACATTGTGGATTTAGGTCCAAGTGTCTGATTGTCTAAATCTTCAGTTGAATTCTTGTCTATTTTTATGTGGGTGTTCCGTGTAAGTCTGCTGTCCAAGTAAACCCCAAGGTTGCAGATTTGATTGGATGGAGGGATTACATTACCGCATAAGTGCACTGGCATGCAGATATTTCTTCTACGTGTGAACATCAAGTGCCAGCTCTTTTGTTCATTTAGCTTGATGGCACCAGTTAATAATGAGGATTAGGTGCTCATGGGTTGCTTTTGCTACAAGGATAGTACTCCCTTCGGGTAAGCCTTGATGGGCTTGATATCTGAAAATTCAGAGCACTTGAACTAGTGATCCGACAGGAAGGACTTCAAGGATACAGTAGGTGTGCAGAAGGATACTTTTTAATTTGAAAAACAAACCAGAGTACCACATTTTGTTAAATGCTTTTAAGACATCTGACAAACTGCTGACCAATAACGCATACATTCTCAGGCAGAGGATATTGTGTCGTTTACTCATAACACGTGGTGGACAGCAGAATGGAGGGGTCTAAAACCAAATTGATGAATGGGGATGGTGTTATGGGTGTTGAATATGGGGATTAATCTTTTGAGGAGGAAACGTTCCAAATTTTTAGCTGCATCTGGATACACTGGGGAATTTGTTTGGTTTGGGAATTAGAGTTATTAGAGAATTTTATTAGGTTTCGTGGTCCGCTTGACCAAATAAATTCTTTTCAATTAATTAAGGTTTTGGTTGAGATAAAAAAAATGGCAAAAAGGAGGGAAAATTCGAAAGGTGGGGTTGAGATGGGAAGTTGGTGTCCGAGTGGATCAAGGTCACGATAGCTCAAGTGGTAGAGGAGCTGCATATTTAGCCGAAGTCGTGGGTTCGAATCCCGCTTGTGACACTGACTTTTTTATCTCAACCAAAACCTTAATTAATTGAAAAGTTATTAGAGAATGTTTCCACTGGATGGAGAAGTGTTTTGGGCAGATTATAGCATAGATGTGCCCCGGGGATTTTGTAACTAGGAGGCGGAAAATTCTGAACTTCCAAACGATGGATAGGATTGGGAGTAATTCGGCGATTAGATCTGAGTGCTGGGCTACTTTCAGATCTGGATGAGGAGTGAAAACCGTTGAAGGTTGCTCGGAAAGGACACAAAAAAAGTACAAACAAAAAGGAACTTATAAGTCAGAAAATTGCTGTTTAAACACGGCCTTGTCGGATTTTTGAGTGCCCAGCCCTGATGGACAGCACAGAAGCCGGCGTTACACGAGGAAAGGTCCTGGCTACCCACAAATCCATCAATTTAACAATAAAATTCTCCAATAACTTTATTACAATCAGGTGGCGGTGTGAAATAAATAATTAGTGAAGGCTAATCTTAAATAAATAAAGTCAAGTAAAAAGTAATAATAATCTTGATGTGATTTATGTCAGCCTTAATATTCTAATTTTAGATTTTAAAAAATATTAGTGATAAGGGTTTCTTTCAAATTTGCCTAATCCCTTGATCTTTCTTATGTAATAATAATAAAACATTATATAATAATAAAAAAGTGAATAATTCATCGCCTACAAAATTGATGATTCCTCCATTATCAGTAACAGGAACAAATTTTCTCGATTGTTTAATAAAAGTAAGAAATTACGAAGCGTTGTGCTCTATATCAGTGAAAATCATGAGAGGGTTATCGTTGAAACAAAAATACCAATTATCTTAGAAAATACAAATGATTACGGGGTGGTGCCCTTCGAAAATTCGGAACGAGCACTGCCAAGTAAAGAAGTTAATTTCTATCTAACCGGTCTTAGTAAATATTATGATACTGCAATTAGAATCGTTCACATAAGTAGAGAGGAAAAGAGTGCAATACTTAACTTAATAAAAAATTACCTCGATATTTTCCATAGGGACGGTCAACCCTTAACTTTTCAATGCTAGAAGTATCAGCCACTTTTTCACTCACAAACACTCTGGATCAAGGTATGGTCTTGACGACAAAGCAAAGACAGTTGTCACTGCGAAACTTTCGACCTATTTTAAGGTGATCATCAGGGCAAAACAATCTTAAAAATGTCTACACATTGATATATTTAAGTGTTTTTACAATCGTTCTCAAATTTCCTTGAAAACCTACTCAGTCCTACATTGACTGTATATACTGTTATAACATTAAAAGAAAATTTGAGATCCTTCATTGCTTTACTGTTGTACCAGTATATACTTGGAATTGTTAGGACTGAGTCGGTCTTGAAGTGTTGTATATACTGTTACAATACTTGAAATTGTTAGGACTGAGTCGGTCTTGAAGTGTTGTATATACTGTTACAATACTTGAAATTGTTAGGACTGAGTATTAGACTTCCAGGAATTTTAAGATCGCCTGTAAAAAACTTAAATATGTCAATCTATAGACATATTTAAGATTGTGTTGCCCTGATGATGACCTTAAAGGTCGAATGCCTTGATCCAGAGTGTCTTTATTTATTTACATATGCGTCAATTGTTGCGCTTAAGTAAATTTAATAGCATTTTGCCGAGAAAAAAATGAACGCAAAAATACACATAAAACAGAAAATAGAGGAACTACTCATTAGTAGTCACTCCTATATATTATCATTAATCACTTTCACTGTTTTTCACTTTCACTTAGAGGTCATGAGGCCACTGCCGCTTCAGACGTCGGGGAGGATTATTTGGAAGAGTGCGGGATGAAACGTTCCTGACATGAGGGGCTTGTGTGACTGGATAATTGTTTGTGAAACTTCTTGCAACGGTTTTTCTCTACTTCAAGGAAATATTGAACATTAACGTCATTGTGAATGGTAAGATTAGATACATAGAAAGGAGCACTGACAATGGTTCGAGGAATTTTGGATTGTAGGGGTTGGATACGTTGGAGGTTGGAACATTATGTTGTACCCCAATGTTCGATGTCGTATGTCCCGAAGGATCTGAAAATAGTTACATAAATGAGTCGTTTATTTTGTAAAGATAGTTTTGATAATTTATCCAGCAACCTTTTAAGAAGTCTGAATCGTCTGTTTAGCTATTGTCTTTTAAGACGCGTATAAGAGTTACATGTAAGTCGTTTGTCAATGTATAGCCCAAGGTAGCCGACTACATTAGCCGGTGGGAGAGGGATACTATTGTTGTATATGGGAGCAGTGGTTATTCTCCGAAGGGTGAAAGTGGCATGTTGACATTTTTGTATGTTTATTGTCATCTTCCACAAATTGAACCACTGCTCAAGGGATGTGACTTTGCCCGTGCAAGTGGTTTGCAGGTTTTTGAGTAGATGATGGGTACTAAGTTATTTCTTTGGTGTACCCCTGTATCTGTGCGACGGTCAACTGAGAGAGAGAGAGGGCCCACTGATGACGAAAGTATCTGTCGGTTAGGTATGATTATGGTATCTGCAGTTAAGA